ATATTGGGGCAATTAGATGTATATGTTGAGAATAAGAGATGTATGTTTAATTTACATGGGTTATGGCCACCGAGTAAGGGTGGATTGTGATATAATTATGCATATGAAATATTGTGAATATTAGGTGGGAAAAAGGCTTGGAAACAAAGGAGGTTATGTCAGAATTTTATGAAAAATTAAAAGACTTGTTAAGTGTGTAAAACACCTTTTAAATAGGTGGAAAAGATGTCAAAAGGGGGGGGGTTTAGAAACCTTAAAAAATAGGCTAAAAATGGAAGAAAAGTGGCTTGAAAAACTTTGGAAAAACATGGAAAATGAATGAGAAACTAATTTATCCAACCTAATGACCTTTCATTTACTTTTCTTTTCCATTTTCACTCACTCCTCGGGTTTGTGGAAATTCGGAGCGTGACAAGAACAATGTAAAGAGCTTCATGTACATACCTAATACTATTTTCATTTTCTCCTGCCAACCATCTCAAATTATCCATTTCAATGCTAATTCACTTTTTGACTCCACCAGTTAACCTTTATTTGCAATTTTTTTGTCTAATGGAAAAAAATAATATGGCTTTTAACCAAGGAAGACCCAATTCAACACTAAACTACATGCTATTTTAGTAGACACCAAAAATAATTTTTCTATCTGAATAATGTGTAACAATTAAGGATAAAAAGCACAAAATATTTTCAATTCCCAGAGATAATTCTCAAGTTTCTGAATACTTGACAACAAAATGAACTCTAAGAATCGGCATTAAGAGAAACAATAAACCTATAAGTGATTCTTGTAAAAGTCCACATTTCAAATTATACATTTTAGGACTGGATCGATGAGAACACTAGTATAGTGTCTCAACTAAACAAATATGTTGATTTTTCAAACAAACAAAAAAGTATAAGTTTGTTTCACTGGGTATACGTGCTCAGTATGATTCCTAGAAGAAGAAGAAGAAGAAATAATCAAATGCCAAATTATCTAACCCATTCAAGGCTCCAGATTAACACAATACACACTATTGAAAATCTTAGTAACATAATGCTAGACGGAATCAAATAAAAATTTAAGAGCCATCGTAAAATGATTGAAAAAATGAAAAATATGATACCCAACGTGCCACCTTAGAATTCTTTCTACAATAACATCATAAGGAAAAAAAAACTTGACTACCTAAACCTTGGTAAAGACCTTGTTCCTCATCTAGCTTAATTTTTCCCTTTGATCTTCTCTTTATCCAAAGCAGCATGATAAAAGATCAAAATAAAATTTAGAGTCTCAAACCGCAACAAAAAATCATAAACCTCTTACTGGTTGCCAAAAAGGCAAAAAGAATTATAAAAAAAATAAAAATTTAGAATTTCGATTAGCACCAATGTTAGAAAAGATGACCCCCACAATGTGAAATAGTTGAACTAAGCTCAATAAAGTAGAGTTTTTAAAATTTTTGGCTATGAAATTATATACCTCTTTTTGGTTGGTATAAAACAAAAGAGATTTTCAAAATGCAAATAAATGGATGATTTTCACATAAAGCTCAAAACACATAATCTCTGTTAGATGCCCAAAAAAATCAGTAAGAGTACAAAACTAAAAGTAAAATATTTAATTCCAAGATTTGAAAATTTAACTAGCACTAATCAAAATAGTTGAACTAAACTCCATAAGATAGTGCCTGCCATTCTTTTCAACTCAAACTAAGACACAAAATACTCAATTTCTCTTCTTCTCTTCCATTTTCATGTAACTAAACATTAATTTCAAACATAGAAACCCTTAACTAACACAAAAACAAAAAACATGCAAACAAACAAAAAAAATTAACACCAACATAATCTCATAGACAAAATCTAACCCAAATTAACCTCAAATTTTCACCATGCATAAATAATCACAATCCAGCTCACAGTCCATTTGGATATGCAAATGATGTGATACACGTGCATACACACTCTTTATGTTCATTGCTTCAAGTTGCAATCATTGATGTCAGTAAGACATGTAGGGCATTTTAAAATATTGTATAAAAAGAAGAATCCACAAGAATAAGCAATGATATTGTGTTAAATTAGTTTTCAAAAGGACAAACATCAAGAGGATTCAACAGTTCCTCCTCACAATGATATTCATAGAACTATACCCAATTCCTCAACACAAAACAATTCTCCAACAAATTTATATTATTTTTATTAACCCAAAAAAACACATGAAAAAAGGGAAAGAAAACATACCTAATCAAAAGTTAAACTCATTTGCAGAACCAAAGTCCCAACAAATCTAAATTCAACCTTGAAATTATTTAACACAGTTCAAACGATTTGTAGAACCAAAAGATATATTCAAAAGTCATAACTAAATCAATATAAATCAAGCTATTGGGTTAACGAACAACCTAGTGCGAGGTAAGATCTTTGGAATTCTGCTTTGATGGAACTCAAATTGAGCCCTAACACATCAACATCAAGCTGAAGAACATAGTTTTTAATTGATGAATAACTTGTGTTCATTCCTTTAAAATGAAATTTGTAAAACTTAGTGCTGGTAACCTGGGCGAAAAATGGCATAGCAATCGCTGGGTCTATGGTTGGGAATGACAGGACATATAATTTTATTCACTTGAAAATATCAAAAACATTGGAAACTACTCATTCATCTTCTCCAAACTATTGACATTTAATTGCAACTACTTCGATAATAAATTTTATGGCCCAAAGCTACCAAGAATTGAATTTAAATTTTCCTCCTCTATGCAAATCAAATCACTAATTAAACAAGAATGAAAGAAATGAATTGTAATGAATGGCTTGAACTCTTTTAATTAATAGCTTACAACAAAAACAAAGTTAGTAGAACTTGATTGTCTTAAATGGATTTTTATTAGGCATGATTGAACCTTTTGTTTGAATTATGTTTTTCTTGGTTTTCTCTAAACCAAGTGGGAAGTAATATATATTGAAGAGACTATATGCACTAAGCAAAGTAATAACCTGAGAGTTATTAGAGATAGGAGGCAAACGAGTAGTAACAATTAAAGATGATAGTGATTCTAATGTTACCTCAATTCTTTGGCTGCTATTTTCATTTCTCTTTTCTCATGGTTGTGCCAAATTTGTTTATGTAAATGAGATGTTGTCTAGGAGAAAAGTATAGGGAGAGGAAATGAAAATTATAGAAATAAACAGATAGTCAATTGTTTCAAAACATAAAATCATCCAATTTTCCATTTTTCTCTTCTATTTTTCAAAATTTTCAAACAAGAGAGGAAGTGAAAATTGTAGATATAGAAGAGATCCGTTGATAATGGATAGAGACCCCTAAAGATGTGGGTGTTTTTTTTTTTGTGTGTGTGTGTGCTGTCTAAAATCAACCACTAGCTCTCTTTAGAGTCAATTGAAAACCTGCCTTGCTTAGCTAATAAAATTAGAATTGAATATCAAGTGGGACAAAATCGTTACCTTCTAATTCTCTCCTGTCATGGGCATCACCTTTTTCCAAGCACCACTAAGTACCTTCAATAGTTCCTCATCATCCTTCAACATTAGGATGCTCAAAATTCTCAATCGTTATCTTTATTGCACAAAAAATGAGGTAAGAAAAAATACAACTGCATATTCTAAACTGATTATCAATTATGATCCCATATAAATGTTTGTCTTATCATCAAACACCTTAAACACATTTTATTGAACACCTAGTGTGCCATGGTAGGGTAATGGTGGTCCAACAGTGGGGTTGAATTAGGATTTAATTGGCTAAGGTTTTGGTGTGACGATGGTTGGTGGCAGTGGGGCTTGGGCTGTGGTGTTAGCTAAAATAAACAGGGGTAACGACAATGGTAGTGGGGTTGTGGTGATAACTTGGTTGATGGTTGGGAGGAAAGGGGTGGATGAGGTATTGTAGAATAAAAAGAGGTAGAGAAAGATAGAATACATGAGAGAGAACAATGCCTTTGCTGCCATCGCTGGTCGTTACTATTCTTGCTCGTTGTCGTCGCCTTTGATCGGGGAACAACGTTGTAAATGAAGAATGGAGTATTTCGGCTATGTGAATATAACTAACGCAAACCTAAAATATCCTATAAGGATATGAAAGGTTAGGACTTAAGCAGAGGAGAGAGAGAAAGACTGATGGGTGAAAACTGAAAAAGAGGAGAGGCAGAGACTAACGGGTGAGAAGTAATCAGGTGATGATTAGGGTGTAGTTTAAAATTTAATTCAAAAGGATAAGAATGAGATAATTGTATTAGAGGGTAAAGATGGAAAAAAATGTTTTTCAAGAATACTGATATTTTATAGTATAGACAAAATAAACTTATTCTCAAATAAAATATTTAAATGAACAAATAAATTTTGAAAAGTGGACCGACTCCCAAATTTCTCATGTTTTAGTTTTCATTCCAAGGATAAATATAATATTATATTTGGTAAAGAATGATGAAAAAGTGGATAAATTAGTTTTTAATCCAAATCACCAAAATCAATCTATCTAAAATTGGGAAGAAAAATTGATGAAAAATTAATAATATGTTTTGAAATGTATGTTACTAGGAGTAATCTATGTTTGAAGGTACGGTGTAATGTGAAAGGTTTTGAAAATGATATTGATAACCGTTAAATGAATTTATTTGAAACCATTAAATGAGTTTATTAAAACCTACCGTATATTATATTATAGATTTGTCTATATATCATTTAATATATATATATATTGTATTTATAAATTATATATTATTTTAAAAAAATTAAAAATTAAAAAAAAATCATCTTATTAAATACAAAAAAATTAAATTTTTCTACTTTTCATTATTCTTACTAAAGATAAAAGAGTGAAGAAATAATTTGTCGAAAGATAAAAAATTTATTACTCTCACCTTCAATCATTTTATTTTTCTTTCTAACGTATGAAACTGATTATTAAGAACCGCCACAAAACGGATTTATTGCGTAAGCGATTAGGTGGGCTTTTTTCTGGCAATTCGGAAAGGGAAGGCCTTATCTCGAAATTGGGTCGGGTTATATAAGAGATACAAAAATGCCCTAATCGACACGAGTCCTTACGCTATAGTCTCTCTCTCTCTCTTAGATTGACGAGGAAACCCTAGGAGCCCTTGAACATGTCTGGTACGTACAGCTACGAAGGCGACGGATCTGCTCCACCGCCTGTTGGCGGAGGCTACGGAGGCAGCGGCGACGGTGGATATGGTGGTGGCGCTGGAGGATACGGAGGCGGTGGTGGTGGTTATGGAGGTAGAGGCGGTGGTGGAGGCTATGGCGGTCGAGGTGGCGGTGGCAGCAGAGGAGGAGGTGGAGGATATGGTGGTAATTCACAGGATCGAGGTGGTTTGTTTTATTTCTACTATTTTCTCCCCTGTGGTCTGAATTATCAATAATAAGAATGAGTAAATAAGCTAGGGGTTTTTATCGATTTGCATATATCTGTATGCTTGTATATATAATTTCTCGCCTCCATTCGTCTTTGATTAACAGGTGGCGGTGGTGGATATCAAGGAGGAGACCGTGGTGGTCGCGGTAGAGATGGTGGTCGAGGAGGGGGTCGCGGCGGAGGAAGCGGCAGAGAAGGCGATTGGCGCTGCCCTAACCCTGGGTAATACCTTTTTCCCCTGTGGATGTGCTATTTTTTGGGGTTACTTTCTTTTATTGGGATTTGTTACGTTTATATAGCTTGCGTGAGTGTATCAGCAGAAAATTTTCACCAAAGTTGTGCTTGTTTCATTGGAGATTGTTTTGGGAAATATTTTGAGTTTTTGTTTTGGTTTTATTGTTAATATTACATATCTTTTGAATATTGAATCAGTCAGCTTGATGTAGTGCCGTGTCTTTGACGCATATTAATGCTCTCTTTGGGGAAAATATTTGATCGTGGTTGTTTTTCTTGAGACAAAAGGACTAAAATGCACTTCGGTCCTTGTTATTGAAACTGCTTTATATGTTGTAGCTGTGATAATTTGATTTTGGTAAGAAGAGCTGATTCGCTTATCAGCTCAACAATTTTCCCAAAGCTGAAATTGCTCTATATGTTGTAACTGTCACAATTTGAATTTCCCAAACATTGTGTTTGTTTCATTGGAGATTGTGCCTGCATTTTTTTCCAACAGAAAAATATTCTTTTGGTTGCTATTCTTTCTGAGGAAATTTTATTTTATTATGAATATCACAGATCGGTGTTATAGTGAATCAACCAGCTTGATGCATTGCTATGTCTTTTCCTGCAAATTAATACTCTATGTGGGGAAAATCTTTGACAGTGATTGTTTTTGTTGAGATTGATAGAATCAAGGGGGGGTTGTTGTCTTCCTTTCATGGTTGGTTATTATTGAAACTGCTGTATATGTTGTAGCTGTGGCAATTTGAATTTCGCAAGAAGAGTTGAATGTAACAAATGTGGTGAAGCTGCTCCTGCCGGTGCTGTTGACCGTGGCAGCAGTGGCGGTGGCAATTACAACAGAGGTGGAAGTGACCGGCAATATGGCAATAATCGAGGGGATAGAAGCAGTAATTATGATAGTGGAAGCGGTGGAGGCGGTAGAGGTGGTAATTATGACAGTGGAAGCGGTGGAGGCGGTAGAGGTGGTAATTATGAAAGTGGAAGCAGTGGAGGCGGTAGAGGGCGTAATTATGATAGTAAAGGAAGAGATAATGGGGGTTTCGGTCAGGGTCCTCCAGTTGCTCCCTCATCTTATGGGGGGGCTGGTGGCAACTACCCACCTCCTCCTAACGCATATGGTGGCAATCCTAATTATGCAACCGATAGCGTTCCTCCACCAACAAGCTATACTGGTGGACCTACTTCATATCCTCCATCATATGGTGCTCCGGCTGGTTATGGTGGTGATGCTCCACCCGATGCTCGTGGTGGTGGTCGGAGTGGCCCAACAGGTGGTTATGATGGTGGGTACGGCGGTGGGGCACGAAACCCTGTGGGTGGTTATAGTAGTGTCCCTGCAGAGGATCCAGTAAAGGTGACGCAATGTGATGAGAATTGTGGAGATACATGCGACAACTCTAGAATTTACATCTCAAATTTGCCTCCAGATGTGACTACTGAAGAATTGAGGGAACTCTTTGGTGGCATCGGACAAGTAATTTGCAATTCTTTATTTTTGCCCCTTGCACTGTATGTGTTCAAAATTTATTTTTCCATGGCTTGACCGTATTTTATTTAGTGTCCATTAGTTCTTTGGGAGAAATTATGCGTCTTTTTATCTGCATTAGGTTCTTTCTGTCTCGTTTCAAGGGTCATTGCCTAGGAATGTTTTTCGTGTTTCAAGGTCTCAATGATGGTCAGTAAGGGGCACTAATGCCCACCCTTTCTGTTTAATTAGGTTGCCAGAATCAAGCAGAAGCGAGGCTATAAGGACCAATGGCCCTATAACATAAAAATATACACAGATGAGCAGGGAAACAATAAAGGAGATGCAGTTTTGTCTTACGAAGATCCATCTGCAGCACATTCTGCTGGCGGTTTCTATAACAGTACGTTCTGATTTAAGGTTCTGTTTTTGAGGTTTAGACTGTCAGGTTTTGACGGGCTATTGCCTGCATTCTATGTTTTCAGATCATGACTTTAGAGGGTATACAATCACTGTTGCGATGGCCGAGAAGTCTGCTCCAAAGGCACCTCCTGCATACAACTCTAGGTAGTTCCTTATCTCAATTCTGTATCTTAGTTTCTTTTAATTCTTATTTTAGAAGTTCAGTGACTGTCACTCTCTTCGTGTCAGGGTGAAGATCATTTGATGTGTGTGTAGATTGCTGTTAATGCCTATTTACTGTGCTTTTTTTATTTTATATATACTGTTTATTGCACTTGCAAGCGTGTCAAATTAGCCACTGTTTAAGTACTTCTAAATACCGATGTACGTAGCTCGTAGTTAATAGATATGGTGACTTGTAGCTGATCATCCTTTGTTAGAACCAAGCATAACTTTTATGTTTTCATCTTGTTGAACTTCTAGAAGTGTAAATAAATCAGTAGAATTGCATATAAGGTTGTCTCTACACCCTCTTGGAGAGGTGTCAAATGCTCCTTTTTAAGATTATCCTATATCTTTGTTTGAGGTTATTGTTATGTACTGGTGTATATGTCCATGAATTTTTTGGGATGTTGATATTGTCCAAGCTTTGAAAATTTGCTAATTGCATTTCAATCTTATTTAACTCCCATGTTAATTAATGTTTAACCTCTAAAATGCATTTACAAAGATGGTCTAAGAAACTGAGTTTGCATGTTGTCAAACTTCTAATCTTTTTTCCCTTTTTATGGGGGCTCTTTTTTTGGGTTTTTTTTTTTTTTTTTTTTTGGGGGGGGGGGAGATTATGTCAAGGCATAATAGAATTTTTTTAAATTGTTAATACCACCATAAATGTTGGGTATACTAGGTAAATTCACTATATGAAGTTTGTTTTTTGTTGAATGTGGAAGGGTGATTTGGTGCCTCCTGTTGAGATTTGGTTTTGCCATGTTGTCATGCATACACCCTTCTCTTCTTTCTGTGTCTGCATGCTTACCCTGTAAAGCACGAATACTTCAAAAGGGTCAAAATATCTGGATCGGATACTTTTTTGGATACGGATACGCGTCCGATATGATCGGATATGCGATATGGCTAGGTAGTATCCTAAAATTAAAAAAAATAAATTTGAATTTTAGATACATCAGGATACGCAGAGTATAAGTTGGGGATACATCGGAATGTTATTTGAATTATTTTTAAAAAAATAGGGGCACCAGAACAAGTATGTTTTGGCCCTTATTTGTAAAAAGAAAAAAAAAAATTATGAATATATGATTTCTAAATGATAGAATGGTTAGTTATTGTGTGATTCACTTTATAAATCATTATTATCATATTAAATATAATAATACAATTTTAAAAAAATATATTTTATAGACGTATTCTAATCGTTCTCATATCATATTTTTTAGGTGTTACTGTATCACCGTATTCATATCGTATCTGTATCTCATATTTGTATCCGTGCTTCATAGGTCACATGAGTGATTGTTTAGTCTTACAACATGAAAGTGCTCTCCCTTTTGACTGGTGTTTGCAGTAACTTGAGGCCGATTCATGTTTGAATGTATAGTTTATTAGCTTTTCCAAAATATGCATTATAGAGATTGATAATAGCTGATCAGGATTTGTGCTGGTGGGTTTACCAAGCATATACTATGCAATACATTTTAATGAAACTATTGTCTTTGCTTTGGGATTCGACTACCTGTTGATCTTAATTCATCCCACAGCTTTGTATGGTGTGTCATTACTTGGGAGTAGTTATCTTTGTTCAATGAGATGATGATTCCGTTCTTACTTCTTTTGCCCTATGTGTGCTTCTTTCTTTTGGGTTAGAGGTTTGCTGGCTATTGTTTGCATGATTTTGCTTCTGTGTGTAGTTATATTATAAGAGCTTTTGTATGCAATACGGTTCATTAATATGTTGTTTTACAACACATGATTTGTTTTCGAATTCATGTATCTTTGCTGGTAGCTGTTGAGGATGTTCATTCTTTGTATGAGTCGAGGCACTTTATTTGAGGTTGTTGCAAATTTTTTACATATTAGGCGCTGCATAATTGATGACAATTTCTGCTGCAGGGGCGGTGGTAGAGGTGGCTATGGTGGTGGTGGTGGACGTAGAGATAATTACAGAGACGGTGGAGGTTCCGGCCCAGATAGGCATTATCATAGCGGAAACCGTTCACGGCCATATTGAAGTTTAGCTGAGCAATTTATGTACTAAAATATTGTGGTCGGAGTGATTTTATTATGTTCCGTTCGCCAGATTGTTCTCAAACTGGAGACTTAAGAGGTAGGTTGTTCACTAACTCTTAGCAATACTCATGTTATCCTCTCTTTTATCTTCTACTTCCTGGTGGGGTTTAATTCTTAAGATTGAGATTGATTTGCTGTGAATGTTTTTATAGAGGCAAGTGGATAGTCTCCAAATTGCTGCTAAGGTAGGTTGAAATTTTCAGGTGAGTGTACCATTTCCAATTGCATTTTTTTAATGCTAGCTCGGGCTGAGTGTGACACATTTTGTGGATCTGCTTGCATGTCTAGCACATGCCTGCACCTTCACTTGGTATTGTTATCAAAAAAGTTGCATAACCACTTTATTCTGAGTGAGTCACTAGTTCATGTTTGTTATGTTATGTGTAGCTTATTGACTTCTCTTCCCTTTGGCCCTTTCTATTCCAGACAGCTCCTCTTCTTCCTGACCATTGCTGATGTATTCAACACTAATGTTTTTGCGTATTTTTTTTTTTTTTTGGGAGGGATTGCTTTTGGGATAAACTAACTGGCATTTATATCTGGAAACTAGTGTTTTTGTTTTCTTTTGCCATGCCTCGATTTCCTGCACTTGGTTCTCTTCATGGGTACACATGAGGAAGAGTAAAGAAGGGAAGAGGTGGAGAGATTTTCATAAACAGAAAATTGGGGCTCTGTGAAGTTTTTAGTTTGTGCTGATCGAACAGTCTAATTACGCATGCTTTAGGTTCCTACTCTTACGGAGGATGTCTTGAAGCATTATTATTTCATCACTTCCCTTCATTTCTCTTCTCAGGCACAAACCACAAAGATTGACCTAGTAACTTTACCCTTCTCATTGCTGATCTCCTGACAAATGTCGTAATGATCTTCCTGGATGATTGCAATCGTTATTTTAATTTATAGCTGTAGTGAATTGTGTTGAGATGTGAATTTGGTTGCACCGGGGGTGGTGGAAGTGGCAACCCTGAGATAATGTAGTGACTGCCTGTACACGAAGAAATGGAATTGCACTGATCATTGGGAGAGACATGAAGCTAAACAAATTGCTTCCACCCACCACAAGAACAGAGGATTACGTCAGTTAGGATATGGGAATAACGTGCCCAGCGAAAATCGAGTGTGAGATGATGGCTTCGGTGAAGCAAATCCCACAAAATAGTGAACGCCATTAAAATGTTGCCTCAACCCTAACAATCGGATTGGTTGCAGTGATCATGTGCATGGTGCTGTAAATAAAGGGAGCTTAACAAACCACCTCTCATCGTGGGACTTGTCAAGTTTTGGGCTTTCAGCTCTGTCAGCCCCTGCGGGCCATGGATGATGTTTTGCGTGCTTTGAATGCGAAATTTCTCGTGTGCTAGAGGACTCGTGACGTATTCTGCCACTTCAGTGTGTGCTAGTGGCTGTGCCGCTTTACAAATAAGTTGTTTTTCTGCCCCTGGTTTCCCCTCGACTATTTTTTTTTTTTTTTTTCTAACATCTATCATTTTGATGAAATTGTATTTCCACCCGCATGCCTTCCAAATGATAGTTCTTTTTTAAGCCTTTTAATTTTGTGGAGGGTACAGAGTGGCAGGTGAACATTGGATTTGAATCTACTCCAGTACAAATATTTTTTAATTGTTCGTGTTAGATCGCTTTCTGCGAATTAGTATTAAATAGTACTGGGGATTTTAAGGTAATACACACTGACCAATCCAATCTAATATGAAGAACAAGAAATGAAATGTTCTTGGTTCATACTAGATGAGCCTCGTAAACATTCAATGGTGATAATTGTGTCGCTTGATTTGAGAAGCATAGCATTGGTGTCTCATACTGGATTGACTTCCTTTGACTGGGTCTAATGAGCATAGGCTTATGGCAACGAAAAAAAAAGCAGCAGCTTGCATGTTTGGAAATTATTGGCCAACTTTAGAGCACAAATTACCAAACAATAAAGGGTAAATATCTCATAGATCACCGGCATTGTGTCTCGGTGTTTAATACCTCTCAATTTTCGTTGGCTTAATATAACCCTTAAACTAATTTTCATTGCATTCAAGTTTTTGCCTAAACAAATCAAGAAGTCCATAAGATTTTGTTTCCAACTGCTTCTAATTTTTTTATTTTTTTTAACTTAACTTTCGTTTAAGGAGAATTGGAAGAAAATGGGACAATCTCTAAGTTTACATAATTTAAACACCGGTAAGTAGGCTTGTCAACGAATTAGGTATGAACCGAATTATCATATATCCAAATCTGAATCCAAATAAATGTTTGTTGATTCAATTCAGTTCGATTATCTTATGAATTTAAAAAATTAATCCATGTTTGAATCTATTAATTTTTGAATACCCAATCCAAAAATTCGATTTGATCAGATTACCCAAAAAAAAATACATGTACACCAAAAAATTAACAATAAACATTTGGATAATGAACTAAAAATAGGAGGAAAAATGAAAAATTGAAGTAAAAGCAAGAGGAAAACCAGATAGGGAAACAAAATGAAAATAATTATTAAAAATTCATATCTGAATTCGTTTAAACCGTTGGGAATTAACTTCGCAACAATTTGGTTAGTATAACGACAAGAAAATAAATGAGCAGAATAAAGAAAATCAAAACGTAATTCACAACATCAAGATTTATGTGGTTTGATAAAATTGTTTTATCTACATCCACGAGACGTGATCCGATCTCCTTTCTTTACTATTGAGAGAAGATAGGTATAATTGTACAAGCTTCACCACTCAAGTTTAAATCCCAAATTCATGCCCTTAACCATTTATACAATCCACTCAATCTTACCATCTCAAACTCCTAGTAAAAAAAATCTCTCATACTCTCAACAAGAGAATAAAAATTGAACAAATATAATTTACGAGATGATCTAAAAAACCAAGAGGCCCATGCTTATTTGTAGGCATCTCAAAGTGGTGACAGATGAATTCCTTTGCATGTAAGCAATGTACTTGATTGTTTTACTTGTATCATTCAATAAAATTTTAGCAATGACATCATCTAATAAATTACAAAGAAACTCTCATCTCATTCAAGAAACAAAATTACTCAATTTATATCCTCCAATAAACTTTTAGCAATAACATCATATAACCAATTAAAATAGGTCTTTTTAACAATGATGTCACATAACCAATAAAAAGTAGGTCTTTTTAACAATGATATCACTTAACAATCAAAACAAAAATTTGAGCCACTACCAACAAATCTCTACCTTGGCAAAAATTTCATAACCTTTACCTGAAAATTTAGGCCCGCATCTCAATGTGAGATGCCTATCCCCACGCCTTGGGATGCCTCGTCAATCTTTAACAGTGCAAAAGATTGATCAAGTCCATGACTGCTTGAACTTCTGTGTAGTCATTGACTTTGTCAATATATTTGTTGTATTATTCTCTATGTGTACTTTCATCAAACTTATCTTGTCATCTTCCACCCATTCTCTGACCTCATGTCGATGTGTTTTGTCCTGACATGATAAGCTTGATTTTTGCTAAGTGAATAGCACTTTGACTGTCACAATACAACTTCAAACTTTCTTACTACAATCCTAATTCCTTAACCAATTATGTCAACCACAAAGTCTCCTTGGTAGCTTCCACCATTGCCATATACTTCGCTTCAATTGTGGATAAAGCAGGGATCAATTGAAGCATAGCTTTCCAACTGATAAGTCCACCTGCAAGAGTGAAAATATAGTCTGTAGTAGACCTTTCGCTTGTCCAAATCACCTACATAGTCTAAATCTACATAGCCCACAACCTGTCCTGTCTCATCTTGTCTCTAATACAAGATGCCAAAATCCACCGTACCTCTCAAGTACTTGAAAATCCATTTAACTGCATTCTAGTGCTTTTTTCCCGGATTGTTCATGTATTTACTTACTACAATGACCACATGTGAGATATCTGGTCGACTGCAAACCATGACATACATTAAGCTTCCCACTACACTAGCATATGAAACTCGTGACATTTCCTCCACCTCATCACCTGTAGATGGACATAATATAGTAGAAAATTTAAAGTGGTTAGCTAGAGGTATATTGACCGACTTTGAACTAACCATATTAAACCTCTCTAGCACATTCTCCACATATTTCTTCTATGAAACCCATAGTTTTCCTTTTCCTTTGTCCTTTCAGATTTTCATGCCAAAGATCTTTTTAGCAGCACCTAGATCCTTCATGTCAAACTCGTTCCATAATCTGGACTTTAACAAATCTACCTCATGCATGTTATTTGAACCAATTAACATGTCATCAATATAAAACATCAGATTAATAAAAAGAACTATGTTCAAGCAGCTTGTAATAAATACAACTATCATAATTGCTTCTCATGTAGCCAACATGCACCATAAAAGAATCAAATCTCCTATAACATTGCCTAGGAGACTGTTTCAACCCGTAAAGAAACACTTTACCTTGCACCTTGAATCTTTCTAGTTGCTCCATATATATTTCCTCTTCAAATTCTCTGTAAAGGAACACTATCTTGACATCAAGTTGCTGCAACACAATGTCAATTATAGCTACCATAGTTAACATAACATGAATAGAAGAATGCTTTACAACAAGATAAAAAATTTCAATGTAGTCAATCCCTTCGACTTGCCTGTACCTTTTTGCTACAAGACGAGCTTTAAATTTTTATCCTTCATTTTCTGATGTAGTTTCCTTTTTTCGATATATCCATATGCAACCAATCATCTTTCGCCCCTTGGGTTTTTGAACAAGCTCACAAGTGTTGTTTTTGTGTAAAGACTCCTTCCCATCCTCCGTTGCTATCATCCACTTTTTGACAGCCTCCTGTAAAGAAGATGGATCTCAATTAACAACAACCAATGTAAAAGAAATCATATCCTCAAAACCATACCTAACTTGTGCCTTATGTGTTCTTTTCTCTCTTTGTGCAGCTAAAGTTGTGGATTATTGCTGCTCGTCATCACCACCAAATGTATCTTCTTGAGAAGACATTGGTACATCATCCTCTTCACTGGGCCGTTGTGTTTCATCTGGCTTTATCTGGACTAAGAATTTTTCTGCATGAGTCCCTACCTGCTTATCAACATCTTCCTTGTTTAAGTTTAGCATATGCTTTTCATTGAAGACAACATCGCTGCTGATTACAGTCTTTCCGTGTAATTGGATGCAAAAGTTTGTAACCTGTCACACCTTTTTGTAGCCAATAATTATACACCATTTGGACTTTGAGTCTAACTTTGATCGTTGCTGCTCTTACACGTGAACATAGGCAGGACAACCAAATATTCTTAAATTAAAATAATTAACTAGTTTACCTATCCACACCTCCCTAGGGTTTTTTGCATCAATAGCCGAACACGGTGAATTGTTAACAATATAACATGTCATGTTAACAGCCTTAACCCAAAATGATTTTGACAAACCTACAAGAAGTTTCATACATCTTGCTTTTTCTAAAAGGGTTATGTTCCTTCTTTCCGCTACACTATTTTGTTATGACCCACCTACTGCAGTATAATATCAAGTGATCCTTTCTGTCTGACAAAACTTCCTGAATTCCCAGAGTTTATATTCCATGTCATTGTCCATCCGTAGGTACTTGACCTGCTTATCTATTTGCTTTTCAACTTCAGCTTTCCACTGTTTGAATTTGTTGAAGACTTCATTTTTTGTTTCATGAAGTAGACTCATACTTTCCTGGAGAAGTCATCAATAAATGACACAAAATATATTGCTCCACCTTTGGATTGAACTGACACGGGTCCCCATATATCTGAGTGTATGTATTCCAGCACATCTTTGCTTGTATGATTCCTGGTCTTGAAGCTTACCCTGCACTGTTTACCACACAAGAAATATTTGCAAAAATTAAATTTACAAATTTTTACTCCATCAAACAGCTTTCGTCTGTGAAGTTTCTACAATAATTTCTCACTCATATGGCCAAGGCGTAATTGCCACAAAGTAGTGTCATCAGTACATGGATCCAACGGAGTTTTCACAGTTGCTTCACTTGTGACAGTATTCCTTACTAATGTATACTTTTTTTTCCTACCAATGTATACAAGTTATCCTATCGTTTTCTTTTTGTGACAACCATGACCCCCTTAATAACTTTTAGGACCCCACCCGTTGCTGTAAAAATAAACCATTTGATTTAAGTGTACATCACCTCAGTGTTCTCACCATACCATCAAACATTTTAATTTTAATGGTCTCAATCCCAATGGTACTACAAACTGCATCATTACCCATTAGAACAGTTCCTCTATTATAGGGTTTATAAGTATCAAATCATTCCCTATACGGACACATATGATAAGAACATCCAGAATTCAATATTCATTTGTCAGCAAGATAATTCATACCTATGGTGACTGATAATAAATCACCACTACCGTCTAAACCATCTTGTGCAATGCCTGCTTGATCTGAATTCGTGAATTTCTCTTTGTCCTTCAGATCTCGCTTTCTTTGATAGTAATCCCTTGTGGCAGTAGTAACACTTGATTTTGCTTCCACTTTTTCCTTTTGATTTTCAGCGCAACCTCTCTTTGTTTTCAGAGCCTTTGTTTTTACTTCTTCCTCGTTGCTAGCTTGGTTCACCATTGACCATCAACTCTTATGATTGGGAATCATTTCCTGGCTTTTCAAAGTGTCTCAGTCTCCAAAATAGCCGTCATCACCTCATCAATCCTGAGAATGTCTTTCCCAATCAAAAGTGTGTCAAAAGAAGATGGAAGAGAAGACAAGAGAAGAATAACTTTATCCTCCTCTATAATTTTAACCTCAGCACTAGAAAGTTGAGTAACAATTTTATTAAAATGGTTGAGATGATCAACAATATTTGTTTCTTCTACCATTCGCAATTGATATGATTGTTTATTCAGAAATAATTTGTTTGTAAGAGATTTTGACATATAAATTTTTTTCAATTTTTCCTATAAATCTGAAGCAGAAGTTTCATTCAAAAAATTATATTTTACCTTTGGTGCAAGAGATAAATGAATGATACTCACAAATTCCATCTCAAGTTCCTCCTAGTTTTCATTTTTCATCTCCACTAGTTTCTTGAGTATTACTTTGGGCAATCCTTGTTACACCAAGATGTCTTTATCGTGCTTTACCACCGACTAAAGTTATTTTTCCCATTAAAGGGCTCCACCTCAAATTTTCCCATCAAGATGCCTTTTCGCATCATTGTACTGAGCGTCGATAATTAAGAACTATGTGCACTTGTTCTTAATTGCAATCCTCCCAAAACGAACCTGAGGCTCTGATATCATTTGTTGAGAATTAACTTTGTAGCATCTTGGTCAGTACAACGACAAGAAAATAAATAAACAGAATAAAGAAAATTAAAGCACAACTCACAATACCAAGATTTACATGGTTCGACAAAATTGCTTTGCCTACGTCCACGAGACGTGATCCGATCTCTTTTTTTTTTTACTATTAAGGAAAAATGGATATAATGGTATAAGCCTCATCACTCAAGTTTAAATCCCAAACCTAAGCCCTTAATCCTTTGTACAACCCACTAAATCTTTCTCTCTCAAACCCCCTGTAAGAAAATCTCTGATACTCTCAACAAGAGAATGAAAATTGAACAAATATAATTTTCGGAATGATCTCAAAAACCAAGAGACCATGCCTATTTATAGGCATTTCAAAATGGTGGCACATGATCTCCTTTCCATTTAAGCAATGGATTTGATTGCTCCACTTGTATCCTCTAATAAGATTTTAACAATGACATCATCTAACGAATTACAAAGGAACTCTCATCTCATTCAAACAATGAAATTGCTCCACTTGTATCATCCAATAAGTTTTTAGCAATGACATCATTTAACCAATTAAAATAGATATTTTTAGCAATGATATCACCTAACCAATTAAAATAGGTCTTTTTAACAATGATTTCACTTAACCAATCAAAACAAAAATATGAGCCACTGCAAACATAAACAACTCTATTCGAATTCGGATTAATGGATTGAAAATCTAATTCATATTTGCTTAAATAGATTTAGAATCGAATTGAATTCAAGTTAAAATTCGATCTATTAACGTACCTACTGGTAAGTCTAGGAAACAAACTAAAATTCATGTCAAAGTTTAGGTATATCAAGGGTATTTATCAAAAAGTAAATTTCACATGACTCGGATTTAAAATGACATGTAAATTCTCAATGGTCTCAATTTAATTTTGGCACTTCTAAAGTCATTTTAATTAGCTCCTTTAATTCATTTTAATTGACAAAACAAACAATTTTTTCTATGTAAAAAACTAGTGCTAGTGCTAGGTGCAAAATTAAATTATAAAGTTTTGACGATGATACTATCGACTTGAAACTTTAATCTTATTTGTATCTTTGTTTAGTCTCTAGTAGCAGTAGATGTTTCTCAAGACAGAAAAATTGTCTACTTTGATGCTTTTTTAGATGGAAATTAGGAACTAAAATAATTTTAAAATTCAAAGGTTAAATTTTAGATTAAAACTTTATGGGTAATTTTAAAACAGGGTCATAATTTGAAGGCCATTATGTTATTTATCAAAATAACAAAAAAAACCGCATATGCAGTGCACTACCATTATTTAAACAAGGCCAGTTTGAAAGCTAAACCCCGCCAGTTTCCTCCCAAAATGTCCAACAGAGAGACACAGAAATTTTCCCTGTTCCGCTCCAATATCGCAAACAGAAGGTGAATTCCCCATCCCAAAGTTAACCCTATTTTGCTCCCATGAACTTTCATCTTTGATCACAAAACTACTTTCCGAACAAATTCTCTCGCTTTTTGCTTGTGCAGATTCGATGGCGGAACTCTCCGAATCCTCGAATCGCTTTTGGTTTCAAAAGATGTGAAATCGTTGATGGAACTCCATTCAAGCTTGAGAGAGTTCCTGAGACACGAATTGCTCCGTGTGTTTCACGATATATCAGAGAGATCTGTTGATCACAAGCTTTCGATTCTCGAATTCTTCGTTCATGCTTTTGCTCTCATCGGTGACGTTGAGGTATGTATACAGTTTTGATGCTTATTCGGGTGCTCTAATCATCATATAGTTTTGCGAAGTCTTATTATATCACTAGTAGTCTAGGTATTGATTTTTGGAATTTGAAATCACTTATCGATAAGGTGCCTTTAACTTGTTACTTGATCTATCTTTGAAAAAAGATTTATTACTTTTGAATTTGATCGTCAACCTGAGTTAGGAATAGCCATTACAAGTGATTGTATGCCAGAACCAGTTACATTTGCAATGATTTAGTTTTTTCAAGATCAATTTGTTAAAAATGACCTTATGAGATCAAAATTTTTCACTTCAAACTTGTCATAGTTATATAGTTCTACTTTTAGCCCGTGCCTACTGACATACAATTTTTTCTCCCAAGTTAATTCAACTATTTAAGTTCTATATTGTTTCCTGTGCTGCCATGTATTCATGCGTTTTCACTATTATATGCGATAAATAACCATGCTCTTATCAAGTTTTATATCTAATAGAACTTATATCAAGTGTTCTCTTTCTCTATTTTGGGACTGAATTGTGAGGGGTTTGACCTGATGATGTATGCATGTTGGCTGTGTGTTGTTCACAAAATGTTTCCAGAGTTGCTTGGCTTTGAGATATGAGGCCCTGGTGTTGAGGGAACTTAAGGCTACTAGTGACAGACGGCTACAAGTTTCATACAGAGAATGGCTTACCTTTGCTGAGCATTTGCTTGACAATGAGTTTTATGCTATTGCTAGAAAGGTAAAGCTGTTATGATTTAGTGGTTTTTAGATATAAGAAGATACTAAGTCAGGAACACAGTGCTCTGGGTGTATTTCGTCAAGTTCACATTAGCATTCAGACTTCAATAACTACTGAACATTGCTATTTAGTCTCACAGTATTTCAAGAAGTTCTAGCATTGCATGTTTCAAATGCACCATTTAGGGCCAGTTTAGAACTAGTGGTTGCGGGGCTACTAATTGGGCAGCCATTTGATTTTATTTTTTCATGTGCATAAAACTTGATTTTAATATATATCCATATGAAGTGGAGGCTTGTGGCATTCTCTAGGATTCCTACCGGTTGTTTAGTTCAGTTGCTAAATCTTGTTGTGATTGACATAGGTTACACTCTTTTAACAAGTTTATTAGCAATTGGGAAGTAGCATGTTTTCGGGAACATGGTATTGGATTCTCTGTTCCCACTGTTTTTGCAATCTCTGATTTATTTTGAGTTTTTTTTTTATCCAGTGCCAGTAAAAATTGTTGTTTACCATGGCCAATTATGTGAGATAAGTTTTGGTTTCATCTCAATGGCTTAGATATCTTTTCTAAATCTGAAAGGCACCAGCCAGCTTTTAGATGAAAGCAAGGAGGCCTTTCCTTGTAGGAATAGCTTAATCAAATGTCAGCATAGTCGCTTCTGACTTATTTTTTCCATCTTTAATTCTATGTAACTTTTCTGGTTTTACATTGCACGTTATGATTTTGAACTTTACAATAAAAACTATTTTGAATTAAAGGGTGTGTACACAACTATCTCAGCCTTCAACTTTGACTTTTTATATTGTAGGCATGTGAAAAAGCACTGTTGTTAGTTCAAAGGAATGATACAGTCAATCCTGAAACAGATGAATTCTTCGACAATGTGCTTGTTATTGAACAAATTAAGAGACTCAAAGATGTTGCGGTGGGTTCAGCTTCCTCACGATCAGGTATGTCTCAATTATGGTGGGGTTAATACTTGAAAAGCACGTCTTTATTTATTCTTCAAAGGTGATGTTATGGTAGGATGTGGATAATGACTGGGCATGTGGATCAGTTGTGCTTCGACTAGCCTAGAGATATATATCTTGAGTGGAAGATGACTTTTTCAATTTCAATTTCTAATGTCAATTCCACCTACTAGCGGCTTGGCGGTCCAGTTCTAATCACTGTTATGGGACATTTTACCAATACTTTACAGCCTTGTAGCCACCAAAAAAGGGGCTGGCTTGTTAGCCTAGAATTAGATTAACCTTCTTGAGATCACATATACCAGCATCCTCTGGAATGATTACTTAGGGTTGATAGAAGTGATGTGTTGACAGGGCAGCATCAGCAATCAGCTGGTCTTAAATCTTAATTAATCATAAGGGATGAATTCAGGGTTACTACTTAAAGAAGTGACACCTTTCTGTGGACCCTTAAATGCAAATTATGTTGGTGTCTACTTCTTGAGGCTTAAATTATTGTTCTCAGCTGTCAAGCTTTCGATCGCATGATGCTATTATACAACGATTGAATTATTATAAGTTCTTATGTGGCAGTGATGATATTAAGTGTGCTGGAATATGAGATGGAATACTAGATCAATCAAAGTAATATTTAAGCAACTGAGATACCATACTACTATGCAAAAAAAAAAAAATAACATAATACTTTCATGGTTATGTGTCCATTGGGGATATAGGTAGGAGATAACTGGTCGTGTTTTGGATTCAGTGATTGTGGTTAACTGGATGAACAATCTGCACAGTGTAAATAATAGATGATATGGGTTTGTTGGGATGATTTTTTGGAGCTCTATGATTGTTCAGTTTGAATTTTATGTCAGGTGAAATGGAAATCAATGGCAGTTTTCTTAATTAGTTTCGTTCAAATAATTAAGTAGGGTCCAGGGATCGAAGGGTTTGAGCACAGCACATTGCAGAATGTCCATTATTTATGCATAAGCTTCAGTCAACATTGGCTATTGACAATTTGACATAGCATGTAGTTGCCTGCAAGGTGGGTGTCTGCAATTTACTTTCAAAGTTACATTGGGTTGATGTAGAGTAGGCTGATGACCTGAAGTCTACTACCATATACAGCGGCACCAATGTCCACAATGTAGTATGTACAGGAGCTATATGTATACAGAAGATCGTGCAATAAGTATTGCAAAGTGGTGTAACTGTGGTTCATGCACATTTGGCTCAGTTAGGATGGGCTTACAATGCCTAAATCTGATATTTATAACATAAAAACAGTTGAATTTCACCTTTTTTTGTAAATTCACTAGGACAAATAGATTTTCTGTTTCTATATTTCAAACCTGCATGAGACTAAGGATTGTGATCTGAGTTCGACAGTCTTTCATACACAATTGAATGTGAGCATCTTTAGTACTGAATGCCAATTTGCCATTTACTCGTCTTTGTTCAATTCATTGAAGCACTGAAGCAGGACCAAAAGTTCTGTGATCGGAAGCTTCTGTTAGAATATAACTCAACTGTATCACCCATTAGATAATTGTTTCCGACAACATGAAAAGTCCATATCGATGTAGCTTTTACTGTGCCCAACTATGGCTCAGTTACGGCTTCTGTTGATTTTTGTTGATGGCATTTGGTACCTTTTCGGAGTGTTTAAATAGGGGATTGCTTTATATTCTATTAATGACTAAATATGTTTGGCCATAAATCAGTTCAGGCACAGGCAGCTGAATACTTGAAAAAGAAAACTGTTGGGCAGAGTTCAGAACAGCATTTGGACTGTAAGAACATACGATGTTTAGGAAGCATGTTGTTTAGGAATGGAATTAAGAAGCATAACTTACGAAAATTTAATGAAAGCTTAAGCATGCAGCAGATTTCCTGCAGGCAACAAAGCACACAAGATTGAGGTCCTCGCCTACTTTTTATTTTTATTTTGGAATATTTTCTTGGTTGGCTTATCTGCTAATTATTGCATACATGCATGTTCTATCTACGCAGTGTTTTACGGTGCTGGTATGGAAGGTCCTGATTTCATGCAACAAATGTCTTGGATAGTTCCACGAAGAAGATTTTGGTGGTCGTCACTCTAATGGTAATCATACATACTTTAAATGTAGTAAATTTCAATTCAAGTTCAAATCTCTTTAAGTACATTTCTACTTGTTGCGTAGTGTACTCACAAAACACTGATTGTACATAAATGAATCCCTTATTAATACCCAGTGATATAATCTACCATTGAGGTAAATAAAAATACAGTGTACTGAAATGGGGTTCAAATTTCTGGCCCGGACGTTCTTTTTGGGGTGGTTCCATGCCGAACACCAATTTGTTCCACCTATTAAATTTTTTTGCCCAACTTCTTTTGGGACATAGAATAAATGTACTATCTTCATGACCATAGAGTAATATCGAGCTTTTGTAAAGAATAAAAGGTGTATTTAAGTTGGTTCCCAAAAAGGGTGCATTAAAGTGGCGCTCTGCACTGCACTTGGGCACCTCCAAGTCATCTCAGTTTGGTCGCACTTTATATTAAGTTAATTACTTTCTATTAAGTCATGATGAAATAATTGGACAATCTTTCAATTCTCTTTGAATGGGAATGATTCATCTATATCAACACATTTAACTCATTTGATATTTTCAAATTCAAACTTGTTTTAAATAAGAAAAGATATGTTCATGCAAAATATCTTTACCATTCGAAAGAGTTGAAGAATCTTTCAATTATTTAAAAATTGAAAGGGAACCGAATCTGATATATCTCGTGTCCAGCTTCAATCCAGCACATAAGTCATAGGGAATCTGTAATTAGTTGTAAGTTACAAAGGGAAAATCTGCAGCAACAAATTAGTATGTGCCCCTGACCACACAATCACGTGCCTATCGCTTCTGCAGTTGTGCCTAGTCTAATTTTCTTTCCTCATGTAGGAGATTTGTATATTGGAGAAAACTCTTTGGGTAATTACACCTTGACTCTCAAACTAGCCCCATAGTCTTACCTTATTTGCTCTTAAGTTCCTCATGTTACCTCTTTAATTATGTTTGTTGGTTTTACATCCATCCCAAACCAGAAATTTCATTAGATTGCGGAAAAAAGTATTGGTCTTGTGAGGCCTAAGGTAACCCATACCGGTCGGCATGGGCTTGGGCAGGTGTTACCGGTCGGCACTTGTCTGGGGGAGGTTCCGGCTAGTCAACACTTGTTACCCGAAGTCACTATGGATCAGCCACCTTACTTCCAAGTAAGGTTACTACAAGCTCCCTCGTCCACCTTTGCTGGGAGACTCTTACTCAGCTAAGGATTAACCTAGGACATAGAGTCCGATGTAGAACAAGTGGTTGTTGATTACTTCGAGCAAGAAGATTGTCGTACTTTCAAGGCCCAAAGAAAAGTAAAAAGGTGATAGTAGATGCAAAATGACCCAGACTTAAAATTGATTGAGACCAGTGATATTTGATCTGAATTGAGGCAACGATCAAAACTCATTGTTTTGCCGTGAACTCTTTCAATTTTAAGTCAAATTCTATCGTTTAAGTCTCAAAATTTTGTTTTTGCTATATTAGGAAAGAATTTGAAAATTAATACTCCATTCGTTCCTAAATATCTGTCGTTTAAGGTTTTTACACATTGATTAAGGAAACTATTAAATAACTCTAATATGAGTAAAAAATAATTGTAGAAGACTTAAATTCCCTTATTTAATACGTATTGGGAAGGAAAAGAATATGAAAGACACTTAGCGTCCACCAAATCTAATGCATTGAAAAGTTAAGGGTAAATTTAGAAGAAAAAATATTAATTATGCGTTGGTTTCATTAACCAATAGATATATAGAATAAAAAATATTAGGTAAAACGACATATATTTAGGAACAGAGGGAGTAATAAATTATAGGAGATTTCAAATTCAGTGCCATTAGTTGGGTTGAACTCTAGACAACACGTGTTTTTATGTTAATTAGTTAGATTATAATTTTTTGTTTTTGATAATTTTTATTTAATTAGAGATTTTACCTTTATTACGGGGATGATTAGGATTTTGGCTGTTCCTATATATAATTTCTTATGTAATACGGATTATTCATTAAATAATATACTTTTTTCAGAGTTATTCTCTTATTACTTTCACTGTGAATTCAGAGTACCTTTGTTCTATACACTTAGAATCCTAGTGTTTTTTGTGTTTCTTTGTTCCGCTGCGTCAATTAGTGTCAGAGCATTGACTAACTTGGTGTGATGGCCAATCAACAAGGTGTTAACAATCTTCTTGATGATGGTGATCATGTGGAAGGGGCTCTCTCGAGAGTCGAATTCTTAGACCTCCAGTGACAACAACAACAATCCCAATAGTTTCAGTAATCCTTGCAAGCATTGTAGGACATTGCTGCCCAGTTGACGATGGGTCCAAACCAGGATCCAAATTGGGAAAGGGTGAACGACGGCATGGCTCATGTTCAACCCAATCAAGATCAAAATCCTGTTTATCTAGCAAGAAAGAACGTACGTGGTGTTCCTCCTAGAGTAGCACCCATTGCAGATTCCAGTGTTGACGATGATGATTTCCTAGATAACGGTACAGATTATAGAGATCATGGCTAGGAGTCCAAAGATTTTTAGATGATGGTTGACCTACCCAATTTCAATGGACATCTTCATATTGAGAATTTCATTAACTATTTGGGAGAGGTGGAGCGATTCTTTGATTTCATGGATATTTCAGACGCGAAGAAGGTGAAGTTGGTGGCATACAAATTAAAAAGAAGGGCTTCTGTTTGGTGGGAGCAAATCCAACTCGCTCGTACTAGGGAAGATAGATATCCGATCCGTGCTTGGTTGAAGATGAAGATGTTGCTTAGATTGAGGTTTTTACCTCCAGATTATGAGCAGATGCTATTCCTGTAGTATCAAGATTGCAAGCAGGGCAATAGAACGGTTCAAATATATACGAAGGAATTTCAGTGACTTTTTTTCCATAATAACCTAACTAAGACCGAGTCCTAGAAGATTGCTCGGTTCAATGGGGGTTTGCGTTTTTCCATTTAGGATAGAGTTTCTTTACAAATTCTATTTTTCTTTGACAGAAACAATCCACCTAGCCATGAGGGCAGAAGCACAGTTAGACAAGGCAAGGGCCCATGTGTAGAATCGAAGTTCTTTTGACCCATCGTGTCCTATGGTGAACCGAGGAAAATAAGTTGTAAGTACCCCGAGCCTTTCTGCAGTTCTAGGGAGAGATTCTAGTAACAACGGGATACCTGCAAGGGGAAGCTCCTTGGGTTCTGGTCTAGTAACCAATGAACCACCGAAGAATCCTTACATCAAACCCGAAGGAGATAAATGTTATCGATGTGGTCAGCCAGAACATTGTTCTAATCAGTGGCCTAAGCGGGGAGTAATAAATTTGGCTGCTACCGAAGAGGCTACCAAGAGGAAAAGTACCAGGCAAAGGATATTGTTTTCGAGGAATAAGATGAGAGTGCATTGACATATGGTGATGAGGGAATTGCCCTCGTTGTTCTTGATTGATGTACACCCCTAAGATTGAACATGACATTCAGAGACAATATTTTTCGAACCACATACAACGTGAGCCAGAAGGTATGTCAGTTGATCATTGATGGTGGTAGTAGTGAGAATATTGTCTCTTGGGAGATGGTTGACATACTGCAACTACAGATTGAGAAACACCCTTTGCCCTATTCCATCAGATGGATTAAAAACGTAGGTGAAATCAAGGTAAGATATCAGTGTTGTATCCATTTTTCAATTGACAAGTATAAAGATAGTATTATGTGTGATAATGTGGATATGGATGCATGTCATATTTTGTTGGAGAGGCTGTGGCAGTATAATTTAAGTGTGGTTCACAGAGGCAAGATAATACTTACACCTTGTTCATCAGGGATGGTGTTAAGGTTCTCACTGTCCCTACAACACAAGAAAGTCGTCCTATAGCACCTTAGGCTAAGGGCATACCCTTTCTTGTTGTTCCAACCATCAAGGAGGATGTAAAAGAGAGTGGGGAAATGTATGCCCTTGTGGCAAAGGGTGAGGAAGAACAAATTGTTGAGTCCAAACCAGTGCCTGAACTATTGTTGTTGATTAACCATCAAAATTGCTATTTTATTATATTTAATGATTGGTTAATTGCATATTATTTGTGATTAAATGTGTTAAATTCTTTGATTTTCTAGTTTGATACTTTTTTTAGTTGTTTGGTTTATTTTGCAGGTAAATTGGTTGATTTAAAGTAATAATGAATAATGCAAGTAAAACAATCACTAGAGGAAGAATGATAACTGATAAGGATTGAAGAGTCAAGATTGAGATTGGAAAACTTGAAGATATGACAACTGTTGTGATCGTGCAGTAATTATGGTGAATAGTAAGGAATCAAATAATTAAGAAAGCAAGAGAAAATAACACACAGAGATTTACGTGGTTCGGCAATGTGCCTACATCCACGAGAGCGAGCGGCCGTTCTTTTTCATTATTAAAAGTAGGATTACATCTTAAGTATTTATATAACCCTAATACAGACGTATTTACAAAAATACCCCTGTACTGTACCGCGGGGGCGTTGCCTCCGCACCCCCAACTAATCAGCGTCCCCTTTATACAAATCCCGCAAGACAGATACCGTCGCGGGTTCCACTCTGACATTTGCCTCATTGCCATTATGCACACAACAAATATGAGCCACACATACTCTAACAACACAACAATTTAATCCTTATAAAGAGTCCAAGTTGAAAGAAAAACTCATTTAGAGTTGGATTAGAAAATGATTTGACACATCTTCAATTTTTTGTCATAACTTTTGAATCTTATATCCGATTTACTTGATTTTTGAGGGTTAAAAATAAGGCTTTAAGGGCTACAAAAGTGTATTTCACGAAAATTTCGTGATTCAACCTCTAAATATGCAAAATTCAAGCTCGAAGTCTGGACAGATTTTGTATCCGCGTCCCAAAGATTTTATACACAGGATTTAACCTTACAAGCCTTCTTTTTTGGAAAAGAATTCCTTTTAACCTGTACTTAAGATTTATTATTAGTATAAATAGGGGTTTTCATTTAGAGATTATTATTTTCTTTTTTCCATCTTTTTATTTTTGTTTTAGTTCGTTATGTCTGTCTAGAAGGCTAACTTAGGGTTAGGGAAAACCTCTCAACGAAGTACGGTATTGTTATTAACTCTGTGCTTAATGATTTATAATGTTTTGTTAATTTAACTTCTGATTTCTTAGCAAAG